CTTGGGCGTGCGATATTCAGTCACTTTTAACTTTTCTAAACACTGTGACTTTCAAGTTTCGAAAACCATGAAGATCATCGGTAACATCTGTCATCGTTTTTACTTCACGGAATTTTGCATATCGCTTTACAAAACATGTGTATTGCCGTGTATGTATTACTGTTCAGTGGTCCAGTCTAATTTGCGGAAATCTGACCAGCATGCTCTCGAGAGGGTCCAGAGATGCTTTACGAAAATGCTACGTGGATATTCCTCAAAGTTGGCATGCAGAGAGCGATGCGATAAACTTGGATTTGACCCAGTTTGGCTTCATAGAATGAAATTGAACCTATGTTTTCTTTACAGAATCATAAGCCGTCGAATTCGCACTCTTGATAACTGTGTTCACATATCTTTAACCGGCAGATATCCGATACGTAACAAAGCGATAAAGCTCATGATTGCTAAATTTACAACGCGAATCAGGGAACCTTTCTTTCTAACTTACTACTCAAAGATTTGGAACAAACTTCCAAGTGATATCAGAACATGCCATACACTTTGCAATTTAGAGCTTGCGATTAGTAAGCATTAAACCGCCAAAAATATGCTTACTATATTCGGGGCATCACAGTCCCTGGATAAGGCAATTGAAAACGGCATCGATGGTGCCTGAATAAATTTTCCAAACACATACATCTAACATTTCGGACAACAGCCCCCTTCATTTCATTACAATTTCCTTGGTTCAAACATCTGTCATGTGATTGGGAAGAATTCTGATTCAATGGCAGAACAAAAATCTCCGAACGATTCTGATTACTCAGTGTGACCTAATTTCAAATTGCGCCCATGTTTATTTCTGAAAAAGTGTTAGTGCAATGTCCATCGCAATGAGGCTGGACCTTACCGTGGTGCGATGGTTTGTGTGCCTCAGCGATCCATTGACGATATTGGTCAATGGTTAGAGGCCAGACAAGCTCAGCCTCCTGGTCCTCCAGGTTGGCGGTTGGAATGATGGTGGCACCTAATTCCTTAAAACGGACTCCTTGTAGCCCAACGCCAAACCCGCTGCCTTGCGGTCAGATTTTTGAACCAAAGGCTTTGGTTGCGAAAACTAACCGTTCTCCTGTCTAGGCCTGGGCAACCTGACAGTATCCTGCCCACGCAATACTATGAATTTTCCTTCAGACAATTTCTTGATGCTCTGGCCACCGCAGATGATAATAAACGGTGCCCTATCTGCTGCATCGAGCAGGGTGGATAGGGGTTTGGATGCTACTGCTCAAGCCTTCCCGTCTTCTTATTCCCCCTCCTACGCTTTCCCACTCTTACCGTCCCATTCCAACTTCACTTATATCCCCCAGTTTTCAACCCCCCTGATTCTTGGCCCTCCCCCAACATGTTTTGCTAGGCATTTGTCTTCTAATTTCAACTCACATGTGAACGCGGAGCGTCACTCCTCTCCTGTCGACCAGCCCACGTCCAACCAAGCGGTCCATTCCAGTTCATCGGCTTCCATTTGGAGCCCTCGATCCTCCTTCAGATTGGCATGCCTCAATGTACGCACACTGCTACAAATCGGTCAACAGGCAGCACTTGCCCGAACATTGCAGACCCTCTCGATCGATATCTGCTGCTTATTAGAGACTCGCCTGCAAGATTCGAGCACTGTGCTCAATCTGCGATCCCCTTCAGGTGACGCAAGCTGTATTTTCTCCTTGCGCCTATCCGGTGACGATGCAGCTTCGAGCACCGGCCAAGCCGGTGTTGGTATTGCCCTGAGTCCGCGGACTGAAGCTGCTCTGGTGCATTGGATCCCAATCAGTAGCCGGATGAGTGCGGTCCGATTGGCTGGTTCGTTCAAAGCTTCGAAGTCGCGTGGGACTAATAGGTGTCTACTCATCATCGCTGCCTACGCGCCCACAAACTGTGGCGATGATTCGGTAAAGAACGACTTCTACCGCCAACTGACTCAGCTCCTTCGCCACAGAAGAAGCACGGACACTGTTGTGCTGGCGGGCGATATGAACGCACAAGTTGGAAAGTTGTCCACTGATGAACTGCATCTGGGCGGTCAGCACGGTGTAGGCTCCCGTAATGATAACGGTTGGCGGTTACTTCATTTGTGTGAAGATGCTCGCTTATTTCTTGCGAACACTAATTTCCGACACAGCACCCGCCGAAGGGTGACTTGGCGCCCACCAGCCTTGCACGCAGATCGATCACATTGCTATTAGTTACCGCTGGAGAGGCTGCATCCAGAATTGTCGCTCGATTTGGAGCACATGTGTGGACATCGATCATGCACTTGTATGTGCTGACCTGCGGATGCGTTTTGGCGGACGCCCACGACGACGCGGTGAGTGTTTTGACACCAGCCAACTGACAAAGCCAGCTGTTCTGAATGCGTATCGAAGTACGCTAACATGCGAGTTGAGCAAGCGCTCACAGGCGACAATTGATGGTCACTGGTCACATGTTCGCCAGACCTTACTAGCAGCAGGCAAATCCTCATGTGGTATGTCTAATAGACAACATGGACATTGGGTCTCTTCGCAGTCTTTGGAACTTATAGATGCTCGCCGGCAAATCCCGGCTGGAAGCGAGCACAATGAAATTAGCAAAGAGCTCCGGGCAAAACTCCGCGCTAGCCTGAAGAGAGACCGCGAATCTTGGTGGTCTCATCGTGCGTCAGAGATGGAAGTGGCCGCTGCCTTTGGCAACCATCGTACGTTATTCCGTCTGATACGGGAAACGGGCAGCAGGAGACCTGGTGTTAGTGAAACAATTTGTGATGAGAGTGGACAGCTTATCCACTATTTGTCAAAGCGTCTGGAGCGTTGGGCTGAGCATTTTGAAAAGCAATTTAATCGGCAAGAATTGTTCGATTCTTCGCCGGTCACTGATCGCCCTGCTCCGTGGGCTGTCCCTTTGGATCCACCCTCTCGCTCAGAAGTCGAATGTGAGATCGGACTGTTGAAGTTGAACAAAGCCGCGGGACCAGATGAGCTTCCTCCAGCCCTCTTCAAATTCAGAGGCTCTGCTCTTGTTGATGCTTTGCATGAATTACTAGTGAAACTGTGGCAGCAGGAGACTGTCCCAACCGACTGGAGCCGCTCCGTTATTGTTCCCATCTTCAAAGGCGGCTCGCGCTCGGAATGTGGCAACCATAGAGCAATCAGTCTGATCTCCATCGCCTCCAAATTACTCGCCTCCATAATTCTTCACAGACTGACTGGCGCTCGTGAAAGCCAGATTCGTGAGGAGCAAACCGGGTTTCGTCGGGGTCGTGGCTGCATCGACCACATCTTCACCTTGCGTCCGTTGTTGGAGCACCGTCACACATATTGGCGGCCCACCGTAGTCGTGTTCCTCGAGATCAAAGGTGCCTTCGATTCGGTTGATCGATGTGCCCTTTGGAATTGTTTACTCAGGAAAGGTGTGCCCGAGAAATATGTGAATATTATCCAAGCATTATATGCGCGTAGCATGGGCAGAGTGAGGGCTTACAGCAGGCTGTCGCCACCCTTCAATATCTCCAGCGGTGTGAGACAAGAATGCCCGCTGTCACCTTTCCTCTTCAACTTCGCTATTGACGAAGTCATGGATATTGCATTTATAGGACATGACTTGGAAGGTGTGGAGCTACTCCCAGGAGAACGACTTCTTGACTTGGAGTATGCAGACGACATTGCCCTCATCTGTGACAGCCCCCAGACGTGCCAAGCCGCGCTGGACATATTAGCACTGGCTGTCCGTCACTTCGGGCTTTGCTTTCACCATCGAAGTGCAAAGCGTTCCTCCAAGGTTGGCAGGGATCGCCTCCTGCGCTGACCATTGCTGGGGATCAGCTAGAAGTCGTACAGAAATTCAATTATCTGGGAAGTTGTATCAGCGCCCTTGGGACCGAAGACGAGATCACGAACCGCATAGCGATAGCTCGAAGTGCTTTTGCTAACTTTCGCCACCTATGGCGGCGACGCGACATCACTCTCGCCCTGAAGGGTAGAGTGTGCAATGCAGCGGTACGTTCGATCTTATTGTACGGTTGCGAAACTTGGCCCCTAAGAGCGGCGGACATGAAGAGGCTACTTACGTTCGACCATCGGTGCCTTCGCAGTTTGGCTCACATCTGGTTTGAACGCCGCGTGAGTAACGAGCGTGTTCGACGCCTTGTTAACGGCCCAGGAAAAGGATCTGAACCGCTCAGCACCGTTATTTTACGCACCAGGCTCCGATGGCTCGGCCACGTGTTGCGCATGCCAGCCCACCGACTCCCTCGACGTGCGTTGTTTGCTCACCGAGGATGTGGGTGGAAGAAGAGGAGAGGTGGCCAAGCGATGACCTGGTCCAGAGGAATGAAGGCCCTCACTTCGGAGCTGGCCTCAGTTGGAGCTTCACGGCTCCCAGGTTGTGGTCCAAAAGACGGTGAACACGTTTGGCTGGATACACTTGCTGACATGGCAAGTAGCCGAACTCAGTGGCGTTTGTGCTGTGAGTTCCTTTGTCCCTCCCCATCCCTTTAGCCTCCCCCTCCATCTACGATCATATTTCGTAGGGTAAAACGTAATTAAATTTTTGTTTTTGCCTAGTAGCCGGCTAGTAGCTTACCGGAACGATGCGTATCCGTTGCTGGTAGCTCAGCTGGCATACAACTGTCGTATTTATTTTTCCTTTATGTATTGTATGTGTGTATGTATTTCCTTTATGTATTGCGGTACAATAGCGGAGGTGTTTTACCATCTCTAGCTGACATGTATAATGATGAGGATGATGATGATGTTAGTGCAATGTCATGGCAACGTTGTGCTATTATTTGATCTGTTTCTTCTAGGCAACAGCTTCTCGCATCGTCGAGGAATATTCGATTTATTTATTTTGTGTAGGTACTTTACTGTGTATGTACTTTTTGTGGAAATTAGAAGGCACGATTAAATTTTGCACAATAATCCAGAAAGATTTATTTTTTATCTAATACTAAGACTAAGACTGCATTCATATTTTTAGGATTATCCGACATGTTTGAACTGTTTAACGGGAGCCAAGCTGGCGGTTCCAAAAGCATTTCTATGCAGGTAGGCGTGTGTGCCCCAGATACTGGCTGATGGCGATCACACGTAATACATAATAAATACGGAACGAAGAGAGGGGCGAAGCAGTTGAACCCGACGTAACTGATACTGGGAATTCCTGATTCACTGATGTAACTCCGCTACCATGTATTTTTTTAGTAGTATATCGTTATTTCCCTTTTGCCGCCACAAATATAGGGCAAGTACAAAGTCAGTGCGTTTATGCACCCGTGAAGGAAATGTTCAGCCACTACTACTGATCATATTTAAAATCTCGGCGGCCTGCTGAACTGCCTATTTTGCGTTTTCTTATATTTATTTACTGACAATTTGTAGTGCACGGATATCCCGATACTGTTTTAATGTGCCACTTGATCGGGTACAGACTTGGAGCTTAATTCGTGGAATCACAGTGGGGTGGCCAAGTATAATGCAATCGATGGACGGACGCTATATTCGCAACGGCTGTTCAGCCATAACCGTCCTGTAGGCTACTTGGCGTGTTCCCAGGTTACTGATTGGGAGGGGGTTGCCTCCTTTGCGGAGGTAACAATAAATCTCACATGTTTCGCAATTTGAATTAGCAGTAGTGGTATGGTTTTTAGCCATTTGAAAGGCGGATGAACCGAGCGATCAGTTGCCAGCTCCCAGCAATGCGAGTCCCTCATATCGTCCCACTACATTGTGGGTTAGATTACCTTGGCGAATGATCCGGGTGACGTCCCCAAGGAACACCGCCTGCTTCCCCCTAGGCAACGGGGGAATATTCTACCTATCAAGGAACTACGGAACTGAAATCAACTACGCTCGCTCGCTCGTCCTGCTAATGGATTTCTATTCTGCTACTTCTACTATTACTTCTCAACCACACCCCACCTACTCATCCACGATTCCTGTGTATCATCCACCACTTTCTTCTGACCCCTCGTCGATGAAAAGCGTCGCGGCCTCTGATGAAGTTGTCGCTATACCAACTACGCAACACCAAACCGATATAAGACAGTCCCATGCTCTCCTCTCTCCTCTTCTTCAACCCAAACACAGTTCAACTTGGGTACGTTCAATGTGCCTAACCTAATATAGATTGGACAACAATCCGGTCTCGTTCTCACCCTGGAATATCTCGTAATGGATGTCTGTTGCTTAGCTGAAACCCAACTTCGGAATCCCAACACGGTCCACCAACTGTCTTCATCCGTTCACCTATACACTCGCTTCATGCTTCACCTTTCGGGCGATGCCGAGTCCACTGCAGCTGAGTAAGGTGTTGAGGTTTCCCTTAGTTACATAGCGGAAGTCGCCCTTCCTGATTGGATTCCTCAACATTCGACTCCGCGTTATGGGCTCCAAAGAACGTACAAAAGTTACAGGCGCCGAGAAGACAAACTTACTCTTTTTGTTTTCTCCGCCCATGAGCCTACTGATTGTATCCCGGATATAATCAAAGACCCATTCCATTAGAATTTTCATGACCTCCTTCTAGGGGCTCTCACAACGGACATCCTTTTTATAGCGGAGATTTCAACGCGCGTATTGGTCGTTTACTGCCAAACGATTGCCACATGAATACGACAAACTTTGCTCAGACAATGGAGACAGACGGCTCAGACTATGCTCTAACCAGAAACTTTACCTATCCAACCTAAACTTTGGCCACCCGAGGCGCCACTACGCTACGTGGCGTGCTCCGTCATCGCAACATTGGTCGCAGATTGACCACATCGCCTTAAGTCGGTGGGGGCGTGGCAATGTTCGAGACTGTAGATCCCATTGGGCAACTTGTATCAAATGTTATCATGCGCTGGTATGTGCGATGGTAAGCATGCGTTTCCGCGACTCGTCTAGGATTAAACTAACACGTGCGAACATTAGTACATTGAGAGATCCTACTGCTCAAGTGGAACATCAATGGCTGCTCTGGGACAATTTCACTTTCCCCCCTCGTCCAAACGTTGAATAGCATTGGCTCCTTTTACAACAGATCATGTTTTCTGTGGCTCTGTCTAGCTGTGGTCTTGTTCGTTCAACAACTAAAAGTCGGATTTCGGCGATATCACCTGAACTACTTGATCGTCGGCGGTCTATTCCCGTCGGTGTAGACATCGGTGATGTTTTTCACCGCTCTCTGGAAGGAGCTGAGAGCCGCAATGTCGAGCTCCACCCCGGAGACAGAATTGCGGACCTGGATTACGTAGATGACATTGCTTTACTTGGAGACGATCCCCAAGCCATCGAAGACTTTTTGTATCGCTAAGCGATCAAGGCATCTAAATATGGCTTGTATTTTGCCGCATCCAAGGCCCTGATTCGGTGCTTACACTCACAATTGCGGGTAATTGCTTGGAGCAAGTGAATCGCTTTGCTTATCTTGGGACTCGTATTACGGTGGGTGGCGGTGTTGAAGATTAAGTGTCTCAACGAATCACTAAATCCTGTCTGACGTTCACTAATCTGCGACACTTGTAGCGCCGCGGCGAGACCAGTCTAAGGCTCAAAGGCCGATTGTACCGTGTCACTGTCTGCGCGGTCCTGCTGTACGGCTGTGAGACTTCGCCTGTTCACGTGGAAGACATGAAACGACTATCATCTTTCGACAACCGCTGCTTACGAACGATCGTTCGTGTGTGGTGGAAACGCACTAAGTTGTGTAATGGGTGCACACAAGCCAAGTTTCTATGGCATTACTCTTGAACACCGTTCAGGTTGGCGCGGTCACATTTTGCGCATGCCAGCCACTCGACTTCGTCGCCGAGGATGATTTTCAATTCTTGGGCGTGAGTAGAAAAATCCTGATGCGGAGAAACGATGAATTGGAAAAGGAACGTTAAGATCTGTTCATCTTCAAGATGGGGGACCATGTGATGGGGACTATAAACGGTTGGAAATTATGGAGCCAATGGCTTACAACCGAAATCAGTGGCGTCAATGCTGTGCTAACATTTTCCTTTCATCCGATTTTCTATGTTAAACGAAAAAATTCAAAACGGTATGTGAAACATTACAAAAAGAAGGAAGACGTTGTTCTCTGGTGTTCGTTGCATAAACCTTTTAATATTCCACTACAGCCATCGTACGGATAGCACATTTGTTTGTTCTCAGACGGGACTAATTATACATTGTATATAAATGCACGATTAACAATTCGTTTCCTAAGTAAAATGACAAGTGAAAATAGGCGAGATGTAGATTTATTGACGGAAAGCACAAGGTCGCTATGCTTACAAGCACCAAAAATGATAGCTAGCGGAAAGAAAGGGCGAATGTTCCGGGAACGTGGCGGGCAGCGTTCGCGTGGTGTTCCGAATGTGTGCACATAAATAAAAGTAGTTTTATTTCACCTAAGACAGACGAACTGCTTAATTTCCCTATGTAGAAACGAAAACGAAGTTTCACTATTGTATACATATTACACAATCGTATATAAAATCCCCAAGTCAGTACACAGCGCGCAGTTAGAAGGGAACCATTGGTGACCCTTCGATCGGCTTGCAAAATGTCCTTCGCCGGCCATCCTTTTGTGAGACCAAGTGGGGAAACCTGATGTATGTGCTGCGGGAGCACCAATACGATCGGATCTATGAGGGCACCCACCGTGTCCTCACTAAGTGTGAGAAAATAAATAAATAAATAACTAAATCTTTTATTCTCAACAAGGTGAGGCACGCCTTTACAGGCATGATCATTTTGACATAACGATGCATGATCAGGAATGTGCAAAACTCCGATGTGTTTGCCATAGCAGTTTGTGTTTGTGTAAGGGGTAGGTATGTATGTCATTGTGTGTGTACTTGTATGTAGTTGTGTATTTTGTGCTTGTACTTGTGCTGCTCCAGTCTTCAATATTTGATATGGTCATCAATATGCGAGTAGGAGATTGGTGTCCGTTGGTTGAATAGACTTATCCGGATATCCACTGGGCAGTGACTTTATTTTGTGGCGAGTCACGACCGCCACGTCGCAGTGTTGTTAAGCAGACATTTGTGGCTTTTTATAGGGAGAACCCTTGCCAGGCGAAACCCACCACTTCCTGGAACACTGCCGCCGAACTATTTGCTGGAACGTAGAACGTAGTTTTCGATCACAAAGCGTTTGGCTGCGTTGTGTCCGGCGATATTCGATAGTTCGTGGGTTGGAATATGGAAAAGAAGTAAATTGAGGGACCTCAAGCACACGCAGCTGACGGTAGCAAAGGAACGGGCGACAGCACTTACCGAGTACGATAACAGGAAAAGCGTAACGCTTTTGTGTTTTCGATAGGTTTTGTCCTTTTTCGTTGTTGTTCAAAACATTTTGTTGTTTATTGAGCACTTTGGTCCGGCCAAAAGAAAAACCACTGTGTGAATTAAGGAGAAGGACGTCGATCTTTTAGACGCGACGGTCAGTGTACTCGTCTACTGCACCTAGACAACTTTTGCGGACGCGGTCGATTTCGAACCGCACCGTGTATCGCAAAGTCTGTGGAGCAGCAACTGATGTGCCTTCCGGTTCGGCTGTAAGTGGCGGAACTGTTGACCTATGGTCATCTTTGATAATATCGTCGAAATCGAAATACCCAACTTTAAGTCGATAGGTGCTAACTGCTTCGCATTTGTCCTAGCTTTCGTTAATGACGACTCGGTCTTTGTTAGGAAGTGGTTCTACGTCTGGGCGCTTTAAAGGTTTGCGGAGGCTGCCAACGCGAACAAAAAGGTGGGAACAGTGATGTAGATCTTGGAGAACGAAAGATCTGCCTTCAGGTTCCTATGGTTCGAACGGTCGTTGATTATAGCGTAGCAGGAATGTGTTAAGCCTATGTAGCGTCGTAGCGACAGTGTTTTGGAACGCAGGAGAAGAGATCTCCAGGAAGTCATAGGACCTGACCTTAGACCAATTTGTGCGTCGACAGTTTGAAAGTCCCTCTTGATTGCTGAACGGATACCTAATAGTGCGATCGGTAATGGTTGCATCAACTGCACTGAGGGATGTTTTAATTTGTCTGTGGAAGCGCCCGATCCTACCATCCG